AGAGCGAGTGACACAGAGATAGAGCGAGTGACACAGAGAGAGAGAGCAAGTGACAGAGAGAGAGAGCCAGTGACAGAGAGAGAGAGCGAGTGACAGAGAGAGAGAGCGAGTGACAGAGAGCGAGCGACACAGACAGCGAGAGAGAGAGTGACAGACAGAGAAAGTGATGGTGAGAGAGGAAGTGGGTGGAGAGTGAGAGAGAGAGAGAGAGAGAGAGAGAGAGAGAGACAGACAGATAGAGAGACAAACAGAGAGAGAGAGTGACAGAGAGGAGAGAGTGAGCAAAACAAGCCACAAAGAGAGCTCGACCGATCACTGGGGACTGGGTTTCTGCCGTGGGACAGCACTTGTTGAACAGCACTGAGTGCGCTGAGAGATGGAGCTCTTTAACACCCCAACCCCCAACAGCCTGCGGTGGACTGAGTACAGACCCCGCTCGGCCAACCCCGCCCCCCACCTCCCCAAAGCCCTGGCGGCGCCTGCCTGATGGTGAGTGAGCAGTACGTGCTGAACATGGCCGAGTGCGCCAAAGGCAGGAGGCTGTCTCCAATCCCCTCCCACTGCTTGGGGACGTTCATAGCAACAGACCGTGCTGATCCAGCCCTCCACTGCAGGAACTGAAGCGATGCCGTGGATGGACAGCACTGACTGAGCAAGCCTCAAATGTGCCAACGGCCCAGTTTAAGGTAATCGGTCACACTCATAACACTGACCCCGGAGTCAACCTACTCTCCTACACGGAGAGACACACACACACGCCCCCCCAACACACAGACGCACGCGCTCACACACAGACGCGCGCTCTCACACACAGATACGTGTGCACAGACACGTGCACTCACAAACAGACATATGCACTCATACACAGACACGCGCTCACACACACACACACAAAAACAAGCGCACACGCGCACAGACACAGATGCATACAAACACAGACACCCGCGCGCACACACACACACAGCAGGAACATCAGAACACAACTGAAATGATTAAAGCTGAGACGGTCCATGCCACCCCCACCACAGCACTCACCGCACCCAGCAGCTACACTCTCATCTGCCCCATCTGGGCAGTCCTTATCTCCATCGCAGGTCCAAGCTTTCGGAATGCACATGTGAGATCCGGGGCACTTCATCAGTCCGGGGGCACATGTCACGGAGGCTGTCGGAGCAGACAGGGTTGGGGGGAGAGGGAAGAGTGAATGTCACATCACAACAATTCACATCCATCAGGGAATAGGGAGGGGATGACGGAGATAGGGAGGGGGTATAGGGGAATGGAGGGGGTGACGGAGATAGGGAGGGGGTGTAGGGGAATGGAGGGGATGACGGAGATAGGGAGGGGGTGTAGGGGAATGGAGGGGGTGACGGAGATAGGGAGTGGGTGTAGGGGAATGGAGGGGATGACGGAGATAGGGAGGGGGTGTAG